AAACAGTCTGTATTTCGATTTTGAGTCCTTTATTTGAGACCAATTAAAGACCATTTATTAATCGACAGTTGCAAATTTAATTGACGAAAAAGCTTATTGTTTTTATCCACGATTTAGTTAGCTAAAGCGTTGATGGTATAAATACAAAATAGATGATTCTGCGAAAGATAGGAAGAAGAAGATGGGAAATATGAAACAGATTGACGTGGAACGTGATCACTAGAATTTCAGAAAACACATGCCACTTGCTTGGGTGTGAATTTCTGACAAATCCCCTGATCATGTTTTTTCCAGGTTTTGGAATTTGACTCAGAATTCTCCACGAGGAAAAAAACTTGCTTACAGTAAGTTTATAAGATCACGTTTTTCTCCGCGAAGTAGCAATTTTAATTTCATCTACTTGGCTGGAACGAGAAAACATTGCTTGAAAATATCTATTGGCACCCTCTTTTGCGGAAAGAAAAACAAGCAGTAATCTAAAAAAGCGCTGGTCCAGTAATAGGCATGTTGCGAGTCACCAATTTCGATTTCTTGGGGAAGATCACTCATAACACCCGCTGGTTAGTAGCAGAAGGAAATAAACCTCGAAAAATATTCATGGGAGCCAACAAATGCGATAATGCCCGGTCTAGGCAGAGGAAAGAAGAAAAGAGCCAAATTATCGAAGCTAGAAATTTTGAGGAAATGACTGCTTGTCGCTTGTGAAAGGATAGGGCAAGGACGGATGATTAATTTTCAAGCGAGCGAAAGAGTCGAGTTCCACAGAACACGTCAGGAAGAGGGGCATTACCGAAACTACTCGGAGACACTCAAATTGAGTCACTGACAGAATGAAATGGTCGACATTGTAAAAAATTGAGATAAGAGAATGAAGACACGCAATCCCTAAAAAATAACGGATTTTGGAAGCTCTTTGAGCGGAGCTTTTTCTGGAGATCTGCTAAGACTAAATACAGACGTCTTGAGACATCATTTTTTTGCAGCCATGCAAGATTCCAGTAAACATCATCAGAAATAAACAAGCTTGAAGCACCGAAATTTGCTTACAGTACTCTTGGCCGAATAACTTAAGCCGTTTAACAGCACCATTTTAGGCTTTTGCGGATAATAACATACTAGCTCGAGTACGTGGAAATAGTGCAGAAGGAAGCATGTGATGAAATAGTGTTTTAGCCGTTACTCGGTGGAATGTTTTAACGCAAGAGAACATCCCACAAGACCTCAAAAATGTGTGCATCAGAAAGCAAAAAAAGAGAACAAAGTTTGATTTTGCCCGGAATTATGTTATTAGACAATCATGTTTCAGAATCGAACATGGCATGTCAGAGAAAACGCTGTTAAAATGTCGAACAAGACAAAAAAGTTTTTCTCTCAAATTTCCGTTTTCAAAAAGGTCAAAAATCACTTGGCTTCAAAATCACGTTTCATCGCTACGTCATTTTTCGACTCGCTAAAAATCAGAAAAGAACGAAAAGATCAGCTTTGAAAAGGTTGTCTTCCATGTTTGGCAAGATTCTAATAAAATGCTCTAAGTCAGAGTTGAACGAGGTCCAGAGCTTCTTTTTTCTGTTATTCGAAAGAATCTGGCTGCTCTCAAGCGCGACAAGACTTGAACACTTGATTTGTTCGATTATCATCAATTTCAAAGCATGAATCCAATTAACCGCATGGGCCAGATCGGGGGATAGAGGCGCTGGGACAAAAGGTGCATTCCACTGCACTTAAGAAAACTACTGGTCGGATGGACTTGAAAATTTCAGTCAATACTAATTCTGGGCCGTAGATTTCAGATCTGTTGGCAAAAATAGCGTAGAAAATTTTATTATTGATAAAAAATAGAAATTATTCAAGGCCTGATTCCAAAAAAATTTTTTTCGATGGTATTTAAGCAAAGTTAAGCATATATTCGAAATCTCCATGATCGAAAACATATAAAAACCCTTTGAAATCACAAAAATCCTACATTTGGTTCGGTTCCCCTGTGCAAACACTCGGCGGGAGGGATAAAGCGCTGTACTTAATCCGGTGTAGAGCTCAGCTGGTGAGCGATAATTTCTCGAAATTCAGAATTTAGGGCGACAAATGGCACAAGAAATCCTACTTTAATTTTTAGCTCAATTGGATTTGTAGTCTTTGAGATATTGACCTTCAAAGTCTTAAATGACAGTGGAATGCACCTTCTGTCCCATGCGGTTAAGTAAAGCCTTTTCGCGCGTTTGAAGCCTCTATTTTGCTTGATAACGCACTCGAGTTTACATAAACTTCTGATAGATTTAGAACTTCCATGAACAGCTTTGCATTATAAAATCAGAAATAGAATACGCCCCGCTACTTTTGATAGAAAAAAACTTCAACAAAGTAAGTTCAATGATGAATTTAGTTTTCAAAAGAATGCGACCAGCTCAATAAAATTCCAGCGGCGGGCGGAACATGAAAATAAACTCGTATATGTTGGGCGGTTAATTCAATCCCATTTCCTCCTTGGAACTGAGTGGGATATCTTTTGTGGCCTAGTGCAGCGAGATCGGCTGCGTTTTATGTGGCGCGATAACTAGCTCCGTTGACCACATCGAAGTCTAGCTTCTGGGCTTTGTAGTGTTATCTCAGCCCCAAAAAGCGACTTCAAAAGAAGATTGCTTTTTCGACAGACCTTGTGCCTCGTACTGGAGCTTGTTTAGTTGCTCTTGCTGGTCGGCTTCTTCTTCTTTGATTAATTCTGAAATCAATCATCAGATATTATGAAAGCGAATCGAGAATTTTAGAAAATCGCTGCGAACTTTAGAAAACGTCAATAAAAAGTGGGTTTTCTTTCGTTCAATATTGAAGTTTTCGAGAATTTCAATAAGTGGACAGCTAATTTCCTTGTAAATTTGACCTTGTCGCTTGTATCTAAAATAAACTTACCGATGTAATCAATAGTTTTGGAGAGGATCGTGGCTTTGGACAATTTCGTTGTTGTCAATTGATTCTTCCCTTCGACGCATGCAGGCACTGGAAATAGTCATTGAAACGCTTGTTTGAATAAGTTGTTTTATTAATTCGATATTTAGACATTTGTTTGAGCTGTTATTAGCAATGAATGAAAATGTAAATAAGTCCAGGTAGGAAAAACCAAGTGGCTCTTGATTAACGCTATGTCTGTACATTTGTACCCATGGAATCGATGCTTCGGTCTTAAAAGGTATTATGGCCGTGAAAATGCCACCTGTGGAGGCTATCAGCCACCCTTGTGGCATTGGATAACTTTTTGGATAAACCACGAACCTAAAACACCCAAGTCGTCGTAGCCACGTCGAATCGCATCACGCCGTTTCTTCTCCGCAGCGGTGTGAGCCTAAAGCAGACTTCATGACTCGATCCATAAATTTGCAAACAAATTAATGTGCAAGTCCAAGTTCGCACTTTTTAAGTCACGGCTATTTTCGGTGAAAATATTTATATGATGATATTACCTGTTTGCGTGCCATTTCACGTGTCAGTAATTGCCCTAGCTCCATATTATCTTCGGTATTATCGGGATGGTGTCTGGAACCGACAAAAAAATTTCGACAAATTTTGCGTAGGCGGCTACTCGGCTGCTGATTGGCCGCTTAGCCGAATCCAGGCTTCTGATTGGTTGAAAATTTCGACGCAATAAATAAATATATTTATCTTCGCCTTTTTCTAGAGCTCTTTTACGAGTAACTTTCTCTATTTTCTTCGAAAAAAAAATCAAGCCCGGACCTTGATCATGTTGAATATCTTTCTCAGCGATCATATCGGCAGTGTCAAAACTCTTTTAAAAATAAAATAAACGTTTTAAATTTTAATTTTTGAAAAAAAATATATAAGGATGAGCTAACTGGTTATTAAAAGTACATTTCACAGACAGAAGAGAGTCTGTTGCGTAATAGAGAAGTACAGAACTGTTGGGTTCTGTTGGAAGCCTCGATCTCTGCCCCGCGGCGCCGTGTAGGCGCATTCACCCCGCTCGAAAAGCGCGACCGAGCAATTCGGTCACATTCTGTTTTTCTACCAGTTCAGGGCTGCACACTTTCCGATTTTTGAAATACAATGATTTATAGAGATTAACTACTTGACTATTTATTCAGCATGGCAAGTAGACTAGAATATGATGGGTACATCGGGCGATCGGTGTTTACGCCGTAAGCCTGACAATAAGACTTCCAGCACCGAACCCATTAGTGGTGTCAGTTAAATTAAAATTTTTTTTTCTAGTTCTAGCCATGACTAAACATGTTAAAATCAATAAAAAAAAAATATATATAAGAATAAGTGAAAAATAACGGAGAGAAGCCGCCCCCGGGAATCAAAGATAAATAAAATGAATATATTATAAAAGTTGACTTCAAAACAAAGATACGAACAAAAATACAAAAAAATTAAATGGTGGTTGGCCATAAGCCACCAGGGTGAGTTAGAGGGCCTGTTATAGGGCGGAAGCAAGCCGCAAAGCGGCTCCCCCTATAATATAAGACAAATCTGCTCATTCCGCCCGACGAAGGGTCCATACTTTCGATCAGCAGAAAAATGATAAAACAATGATAAAGTCAACGGCGCTTGTGATGGTTCGTTCTAACTGTCGACAAATCTAGTTCGAACCACTCTGAATAAAACACATGGCGCTCACCGCGGATAGGGGCGATCATGATGTATGGCCAATGATAATTACAAAAGACAATGATAATGATATACAACGATAGATATAAAGCGCCAAGAGTTGGCGAAAGCCTTCTCTACCCACACACAGATCTCCCGGGCGGCAAAAGTTTCTCTTCGACCAATATGACACGCAACGACAATAATTAAAAAAAAAAAAAGAAAATAAAAATAAAAATATTATAATTTTTGGAAAGCAGTCCCGGTAGAACAGGATCATTCTCCTTCCGAACCTAACCTCCAACAACAAATAGCAGCTTTTTCACCTTTTTCTTCATCAACACTGGCTTCTTATCCATTGATGCTGCCGACGGGGCGAATATTCATAAGAAGCAATATGAATGTCTATCGTTACTCTATTACTTTCGACAGCATCGACGGCCATCCAGCCAGTAACCGACTTGATCACAACCGGGGCGCTCCTTACAGGGGTGTACCGCGTCGTTATCATTCCGGTAATTTCTACCGCGGTCAACCATGATGCGCGAATTTTTACCGCAGTCAATCACGACATGCGAATTTCTATCCACGTGCTCAGTCTCGGGGCGCTTCTCGAGGCGGGTACAACGGTCAAGGTTACCGTTGCGATAATCACCACGGCAGCATTGGCTACAACAGTAACAACGGAAACGGTTACAACAATCACGGCAACGCTCACTACACTCAAAACGACTATGATTCCCGAACCTACGGCGTTAACGCCGCATTTGAGGAAGCATACGTGCTGATACCGTTCTCCGAACCAGAACAGATCACTACTCAGCCTGAGCAGTTCACTCAAGCTGAAGAACGCGAACAACTTGATTACAGTTAGCCACAGTCAGAAAGCTACCCGGCCGCCTACCAGCAGCCAGATGCCCATGACAGCGCTTACTACTCGGATCTCTCTTACACTAAGTACGATCCTAGCTACGCTGCTTACGACACTCAACTCTCATCGCACGCAGAAGCCGCTGATAAGCCGTCAAAAAACTGAGTGCTTCCGGTGGTGCCACCGGATAGAATTCTACTACACATTCCACCATCTTTAATCCGAATCCATTTGGCAATTCGGAAGCGACATATTTACCTGTCATGTTCGGGTCAACCGGCATGTGGGTACCAACCTTATATGATCCCGGCTCATTCGTAAGTCTAGTACCCGAACGAGTCGTCCAGGACTTGAATTTAAAAATCGAGCCTACCGACCGAACAGCACGCTGCATTGTAAGCCACAATTCCTGTCTTGGTAAGGTAGTTTCCGACACCCGAGTCGGTACGAATTCACGCTGGCCGGCAACGGTCTGGTTCGTTTTACCTTTCCCTTCGTTTTTGATTCTGGGAAGGAACCCAATGCTCGAAAGATGCTCGAAAATAAAGCAAAACTTGAATAACCAAACCATGTTCTGACTATATTGATGACGAACGTCTGAAGCACGACGATTCCTGAGATCATACTGTCTCGGGGCGTATCTCAGCCTCGGGGCGCAACTATCAGACAGTCTGATCGCATGAATCGACTCATTGATAATTCGATAGACAGTAAGAGTCGACAGCAAGGACGACAATTGTCAATAAGCATGATTCATCACTCGTCTATTTATTTGTTCAATTGAACACAGTTTTGTCGATATTATTCTCTATCATTTATTCAAGTTATATTTTATCAATTGTTATGCTGTTTCATTAGAATTTTAATCATTTTAGTGTTCAAGAATGGTCGCATTTAATAACCATTCTTATTTAGACCTAGAAATGGAAGCCTCGACGCTCGAAAATAGCGTTCAAGACCTCGAAAATGAGCGCGACTTGCTGAAGCAGATGCTCAAAGAACTCGACGAGGAAGAATCGTCCTGTACAAGCAACGCCGGATGCTCGGCTCAAATTCCCTCGGAATCTGAACCGGTCATTCGACCTTCGACATACTCACCATCACGCTCGCAGATCCGAGCTCTCGCTACTCCGTCAACACACAGATCCGATCTTGACAGACGATTAGCAGAGATCTTCGGTCAGCCAAATGAGCCACAAAACGACGAGGAAGATTCAGAAGAAACGGACAGCTTTTTGACGACCGGCAATGAATCGCCACCGCCAAAACATCCGGTACAGAGCCCAAAAGCCCTGTGCCGACCAATAAACCAGCTTATCACAGCACTCCGGATCGTTCGGTACACATTCCTAGTGAATCTGCCCCGAAAATTCGTTATCAAGAGGAGTTCGACGATGACGAAAAATCCGTCGCCTTAAATACCATAGACATCGGTTTCAAGGATCTCCATCAAGACGAATACCAGGCGAAATTGCATCTCGCGAAGCAGGAAGACAAGCACGTTATGCACAAAGGCATGCTCGTGCCTACCAAGAAGACCAACTTACGCGTGAAAATACTCCTCCACGAGCAGAATATTCTGCTGCAAAAATCCGCTTCCCTCATGAGCAAAAACTGCTTTCATCGAACCAGAGAATACCGTCAAATCGTCTCTTTGACCAAAAAGCTGCACGACCGATCGTCAAAATACGCTTATGCAGCCCATGTGATACTTTCCGGCTCAAAAGAAAGTATCAAAGAATTCATCCAGCGAGAGCGTAACGCTGAGAACGATGCTTCGTCGCAAAACGTCTCTCGGGGCGCCACTGGGACTTCCGGTGCCGCCTCGACCTCCGGTTACAATCAGGGTAGTTCTGCACGTTCGGATATTACCCCGACCAATCGACCGCAGCCCATTTTCAACCGCGGAAGCGCTCGCTCCTCGGGCCCTTCTCGTGACCAAAATACGGCTAGCCCATCGTCCGAATCTGGACATTCATCGCGCTACGGACCTAGCGGACGTGTGATGGATGCTCGTCGCTCTCGGGGCGGCCGCACTCGCCCGTATCAGCCTCGCGGCATGCGGGGACGATATTAAGTCACTGCGATCATTGGACTTGCCAATTTCTGAATGCCACCTGCGAATTTACAATTCCAAATTTCTTCACTCTATTTGCTTAGGACTACTGCCTTGGAATTATCTTCACTGCTCAATGCTTAGGACCGCCGCGGACAGAATATCTCGGCTCGGGGCGTGTTGGGTTCTGTTGGAAGCCTCGATCTCTGCCCCGCGGCGCCGTGTAGGCGCATTCACCCCGCTCGAAAAGCGCGACCGAGCAATTCGGTCACATTCTGTTTTTCTACCAGTTCAGGGCTGCACACTTTCCGATTTTTGAAATACAATGATTTATAGAGATTAACTACTCGACTATTTATTCAGCATGGCAAGTAGACTAGAATATGATGGGTACATCGGGCGATCGGTGTTTACGCCGTAAGCCTGACAATAAGACTTCCAGCACCGAACCCATTAGAACTGTACTTTTGAAAAGCGCGCATGGGAAATTCCTTACGAAGAAAATATTCAAGAAATTTTAATCATTACGTTTGGATCGTTTTTTTTTCTTTCGCAGGGAAGGGTCGTCACCTTACAAGATTCCTTGGCGACGCATGTCCCCGTAAGTCCACCCGAGTGACAACATTGCCAAAGGAATTTTCGAATTCTTCGTCCGTCGACTGACGCGGCTGATTTTGTCTGTTTCTGTGGAAGTTTTACGCTAAAATGAGCAAAAAGAAGAAAAGTCGGAAACAAGCTGATCCAGAGCAAGGCTCACCTTCCGACGCATAAATCGGTTTGCATAGTTTTGAGATATTTCGACCAAAATATGTAAATCGCGTTTGGCCTGATGATGTCACAAAATTGACGCGGCGGATCATACGGTTAGATTTTATGCGATAATCTTCGTCAAAATTTCGGGCCTTGACGCAATTCAATTTAGAGCTTGCTAAAGCCGCGCATTATCGAACCGCGAGTGAGTAGCAGTTGTTGTTTTTTTGTGCTGCTGTAGCTGGCACTCGGGGTCGACATTAATCGGGCGTACTCTATCAGGTTAAAAAACGCAAGTGAATGATTTCTAAATTGAACAGAAAATTGAAAGCCCCAAGTTTCATTCGAATTTCAGGCTCATGAAGTCTTTCAAAAAGAAAAGTCGTTTTCGATGAATATAAGCTTCCGTGTCCTACTTGACAAACTACACCGGCGATTAGGAACTTCCTTCTTTCATGATGATCTTTTGCTTACCTACACACTTTTAAGCCATCCGATTTTAAAGTACCTTGATGCTTCATTCAACGAAATGAAAATTTGAACAAGAAAAAACTCGAGAAAATGATTAAAGATGTACGAGCTTACAAGTAAAGGAATGTCGCGGCATGAGCAATGGGCATTTATGCACGTGGCCACCATTTCTTGATGGATTGGAAGGGTTGGAAAAATTCCGATCGGGCGGGAAGAGCACTTTTACATGGATTCATTGATGCTCATTTTGGAAAGCGCAAATCGTGCATTTTTCGTAGCGAAAAATTATCCAGCTTCCAAAAGCTACTGTATCGTCATCCACGGTCACCTTTAGGCACGGTTAATTGAATAGAATCCGCAGAACACGAGCCCAGATTCCGAGCGACAGCGCAGGGCCGTGATAACCGCTGGAGAAACTACTACCGACTTTGTAAGACGACTTTGTCAAGAATGCCGGCCCAATACTGAGTGATACGCGAGGACATTCGCAAGTACCTCCAAGCTCAAGTACTCCATATTCGTCTACGTATTGAATTAGCACAGCAAGCGGGACTGTTTTGCGGGTCTTTTGTTCATCTCCTCGTGGATTTACCCAGCTCCAAAACTACGACATCGCTCAAAACTCTGGTCTCACTAAACGCTCAAAAAGCACATCTGATTTTCACTTGGGTCACATCTGCGCGCCGACCGGTTAAGATAGAGACACACTTTTACGCGCCTGCGAAGACTAGCAGTCTGTAAGAAGCTGCCACGCACCCACGTTGATAATTACAGAGAAGGGTGCCTCTACTAGTCAAAGCGAAATTAGCGAGCTTAGCTAACGTGCGACCCAGACCTCCGGGTCAACAATTAACCACGCTCACGGTCTTGAAGGAAGCTCAAATGCTCATTCAATGTCGCTGAGTAATACAAAGTCAAAGGCGAAGCACAAATCCAGCGCTAGAATTCTTCAACAGACTCCTTCTTATTCCTGAACTCGATTCGCCGGAGAAGAGACGCCACTCAAGACGACGCTAAAACTCTGAAATGAAGGAAACATCGATAAGAAAAATTCAAAGCTCGAGTACACGTTGTGATGGGCGCCTAATTCCCGCGTAATGCACTCATCGTGTTGATCCGCAGATGAGTGTTTTCTAATCGGGGGAAAAGTGTGATGATGATCCCCATCATCTTAAGCCTCCTCGGCTTGAAAATGACGTTGGAACTGCTTAAAACCGAAGGCAGAAGTAGAAAGATCGTAAATATTTTGACCAGCATTTGAGATAGCCTGATAAGCAACGCGAGTTTTCATAACGTCGATAAGTTTCTTATTCGCGACGGCGTGATTTGGGTACAGATCGACGAAAATACGCGAATCAATTTGATAAACGAAATGTTACAAGCAATTCATTTTAACTCAACTGGGTCACGCGAAAAATCATTCTTTTCCAGATATCGTCAAAAACAAGTCGACAAACAGATTTAAAACAATCTGAAGATATCTCAAACAACGACCTTTAAAACCACCTGCCACTGCCCTTTTCAACAACGCTATCAAGATTTTCCTGCTATCTTTACACTTTAAAACATGACCCAAAAAGACGCCACATTCCAACTGTTGTTGGAAAACATAACATTAAAAAAAATCCGAGCAACGAAATTAGCGAAACGATTTCTGAAGCAAATGGAACAGATGTAAAGAATGCGAATTTACGCAACCGCTCGTTTCCCTCGGAATAAGTTAAAGAAAGACTGGGACGGTGCTCATTTGCATTCGTAAAATCCGAGTCGCACACGCCCCTTTGCTCAACTATTTTCCAAGACCCAAAGAAAAATCAATTTTCTGCAGCTGCTGGCGAATTATGTTTTTGATTTTCTGGGTCAGGTAATAATAATAACAGAGGGGTAATTCAAGAGGCATTGAATTATTGAACTGTCAAATTTTTTCTTGAGCTAGATTGGCGAGTAAAATGCGGCTCGACTAAAAGAATTCGATGAGTTAGCATTCGATAACTAGTAGATCGGAAGGCGAAATTATGAGATGCGCTATCTCCAATTAAAGCAGCTTAGTAAATATTCCAATAGATAGAGTTAACGTAGTTGAGTTTACTAAGTTGAGTATTTACTAAAGCGGCAGTGACGCATGTTTTTGAGGATCTTGACATTGCGAGTATGCGCCAGCCGCACACCTTCTAAAGAGCTTCAGCGCGTCGTTCAACGTATTACAAAGAATGCAGAATGTAGACCGTTTAACACGGCCACAGTTGAATTTTGAAGCTGCAGATTTTCGTTAACTTCTCCGTAGAAATCTCACGAGGTCATTTCCATGCTTCCATTTGAAATCAAGTCGTAAAAAGAGCAGATGAGAAACTCTTTTTGTTTATAAATTATGTTTCTCTAAAAATAAGTCTCGTGTCTACCCCCGCAGTGGCGAACTCGGCTCATCCTTGAATTACAGTCCGTCTTACAGCGTCCGACCGCGACATTTGTTATCGCACTCTCGAAACTGTTTTCAGCCCGCTCTTTCGCACGCAACTTTGGTTACTCTACTGTAAACAGAAACCATTTGAGAGTTCTTTCTTTTTTTGAAACTGTTAGTCAATATCACGGGTTTACCAAGAACAGTAAAAAAGTGCTGATCAGTTCCAAAGAAAAATTCTTCACAAATCAAATTAGCCGCTTTTCGCCGTCAAAGAAAAATTCGCGCGACGATAATCCGCAAGTAATGAAAATATACTACGGTGATCAAATATATAGTTCATATTTACTCGTTCGTGCTGGGGGTGACTTCTTGTGGCTTTCGCAATTAGGCTTTTTTCAATGGAACGTCGTCGTTGATGAAATTTTCATTTTTCGGCTGAAAGATATTCACGCCGGCCAGTTGCGCCACGTACTGTGAAAATTCAATTTAGGGGTGAATTTACCCGTACTATTCTATTTGACGTAGAGAGGGGTTATCATTCGAGCTGCCCCTAACCCTTAACCTAACCCCCCACACAAGGCCTAAACCGAGCCCCCCCCCCCCGGACCCCCTAGTTCCTATTCCCTAACCCTGACCACTAGGCTAGTGGCACTAGCCCAGATTCTAGAGATATACGATGGCGCAAATCATAGTCTCTCATAGGAACTCTTAAGAGGGGTCCGGGGGGGCGCGCCCCCTGGTTTAGGCCTCAGGTGGGGGTTAGGTTTAGGGTTAGGGGCAGCTCGAATGATAACCCCTTACTACCCTATTTGATGCTATCTGATATCATAGAAATTTGGAAACACTCGAAAATTCTTGGTCGTAGTTGGAAGAAAATGTTTGGAATGTTGCTGTTTAATTATATTTTATTGAAGAATTCTTCAAAAACCCTGCAGAACAGCATTTTTCTCGCCTTAGTTCCAAATGCAAAGAGCCAAATTCCACACACTTACAGCACAATTGCTAGTCCAAAACGCGGTTCTCAAAACTGGTTTAGAACGTTTATCCGAAAAAATGCGCGAATATTTCTCGAAAGAAATTGACGTGAATAGAGCACAACCACTGGGGGTTTGTATCCCTACGGAATGTGGCAATATTTCTGTGGCGAGAGTTCGCATTCATGTGGCGAT